AGTATACTCCAGTGACTGAGGCCTTGTCTTATACTCCAGCTTCACTTCAAATTTTCTAACCTCTTAATGTCTTCATTTTTACTTCTTTAAAATAGGGTCAATAAGAGTTCAAGTCTCAGAAATCGTCATTAAGGATTAAATGAGAATATGAATACTGATTCCAACTCCAGATTGATTAGGTTCATGATTCTGGTCCAGGCAGAGGTACAGGAGAGGTCCAGGCAGAGGTACAGGTACAGGCAAGGCAATCAAAACACATTTTTGAGAATCGGTCTGGACACAGGGAAAGATGACCTTTTGAAACAGGAGTCACCAGGCGCCAGAAAAGGAAGCCAAAGGCAAGGAAAGCATAGCCCTGGAGTTCCGGTAGCCACCATTGCAGCCACTGGCTCGAGTTTTACCCAAAGCCACGAACTTCCTAGCAGACATGAGTCAAAAACTTCCTTTCTGGGCCTCCCTGGTGGCACAAGGGGGTAAGCATCGCACTATAAGCAATCCGCAACCTCTGCAGCACGAGTTCGATCCCTGGCCAGCCAGGGAGCAACCCATTTGGCGAAGCAGACCCCTCCTGTCCTGCCCGCTGCTCCCTTCATCAGTGTGTATCAGTCAATCTGCCTGTTCTGTTCCCTACTCTGTCTCTGGTGAATCCTCTCACCTCCTGCACCTCTGGCCTGTACCCCAGCTCTTGTATGCATAAATAAATAAATCTTAAAAAAAAAACAAACAAGCTTCCTTTCTTAGCTCTAATTGGTTTGCTTTGTACTTCTGTTTTTTGTGCCCAAAAGAGCCTTGTCAGTCATGTTTGCTATTTGTATTTTTTTTAAAGTGTATCACAGTTGCACCACTTCTGTTTGCAATCTCAATCTTCAGAAAAATCATTTAATACTAAGAGTTCTTGCTTCTTTCTTTATAAAATGTGAATATCTTATCTTTCATCATCAGTTCCAGGCTTCAAGTTTTAGTTTCAATTTTATAATAATAATAAAGAAAACTTAAAGGCACAAAAGGACTAAACGGAATTTATCAGTTCAGTAACTGAAAAGTCTGGGGCCTGGTGTGTCTTCAAGTACAACTTAATTCAAGGACTCAGTAATGCGATTGGGGGTGTGTTTGCCTCTACTTCTCTACCCTGCTTTCCTCTATGTGTCAGCTTAACCCTCAAGTAGATTCTTCCTAAGTGGCACCTTCCTTTCTCCTCAAGGCTTAAGGTCTTCCAGAATGGCAAACCTAAGAGCAAGTTAGACTCATTGGACCAGTGGCTATCCCTAATCCAATCAGGCCAATGGGCTGAGATACTTCATATGATCTGATCTGGGACATGTGTCCAGGCTGAGGGAGCAAGGTGGAGAAGTAGAGGAAGACAGAGTTAGGCTCACCATGACTATCTGGGGAGATCCACACAAAGGACAATTGGGGTGCATTTACTAGAAGAAACACAAAGGAAGCTGAGCAGATAGAAAATAACAAATATTCACTCACTATTGTATAGTGAGTGAGGCCTGTTGAGCAGATAATAGTAGTAGTTTATGTTTATTGAGTGCTTATTAAGTGCCTGGCACTTTTTTAAAAAAAGATTTATTTATGCATACAAGAGCTGGGGTGTAGGCCACACTGCTGAGGGGAGCAGTGGGCAAGACAGAAAAGGTCTGCTGTGCCATGTGGGCAGCTCCCTGGCTGGGGATAGAACTCGTGCTGCAGTAGCTGCCAATAGCTTCATAGTGCTGTGCTTAAGCCCTTGCGCCACCAGGGAGACCCAAGTACTTAACTCGATTTAACTCCTTTTAATCTTCTCAATTTAGGAGTAGTTGCACTTACAATGATGAAACTGAGGCACAAAGAAGTTAAGTCGCTCATGGTTCAGTAGGTATAATATCAGAACCCCACTAGACTGGTTTGAAAGCTGTGGCCTTTACCTACCAAGCTATACTCTAAATAGCTCAGCGGCCCTGCAGTAGGCAGAATTCTCTCAAGGTACCCAAGATTACTACTCTGTTGAGAGAGGGTAAAATCTGTGAATGTGATGGCACAGTCACAGTCACTCCCTTCATAAGGTTAGATGACACAGTCAAAATGCTGGGACTGTCACTCCAAGACTCCCTCATAGTTAACTGGTGGGGTCTCCCACTGGCTTTGAAGAGGTAAACTCCCATGTTGGGAGGAGGATGCATGTCTCGTATCTTTGGGGGTTGCGTGGGCTTAGCTGAGATTGAGCCCTGGTCAAAAGCCAGCAAGAAAATAGGGTTCTCCACCCTATTGTTTCTAAGAACCGAATTCTGTCAATAACCTGAATGAGGTTTGAAGAAGACCCTCAACTCCAGAAGAGGACTCCCCTCCAAGCCTTTGATTTCAGTCTAGTGAGATTCTAAACAGAGCCTCCAGCTGTGCTCCAACTTTTGGTGTACAGAGCTGTGAGAATAATAAATATGTATAGTTTTAAGTTGCAGAGCTTGGGGGTATTTGTTATCAGTACCAGCATTTTCTCTTTGTAGTCCCTAGTCAGGTGAGTTCCTCCCTCCTTATCATTTCCAGGGACCACTGTATTTTGCCACCACCTCAGTGTGTGTGTGTGTGTGTATCATCATGTGAGGTCAAGGTAGGACCACTGTTGGTCATTTATTCCACCAGTATTTGATTGCATGTCCTGGTGTGTACGGGCTGTTCTGTAATTGGCCATAGAATGAATGAAAAGGCATCCATGTGGTACGCCTGTAAAATTTTATTTTTTAAGGGAGCCAGTGGGGTCTGGGTGTGTGAGGGGACTTCAAGAGCTGTTGGAGACACATTTCAGCCCTGGGCCCCAGAACAGTCACCAGCCCAGATCTAATTTCATTTGAAATTTTAGTTTCGGACCTTCTGTACAAGGCTAGGGGTAATTCAATCTCCAAATCGGTGTGATGTTTCCCTACCCCTATACCATTTCCCCCCAGCCCAAATTTCAGTGTTTTCTCAAACCATCATTTCTTTGCTTTGTATATCCTTGGAGACACAGAGGCCTCAGAAGCCCAGCTCTGCTACTTACCAGTTGGGGGGCTCATTACTTTATTCCTCTGAACATTTTTCCTTGTCTAAAATATTGGGAAAATAATTCTTAGACCTGGCAGAATTGTTTTAGGACTCTATGAGAGACTGTAGCATGTATTTTGGATATTAAATTCCACGAAGTTCACATGCCTTGTCCTTTTTGTTCATGGCTATGTTCCAGGTAGGCCCTGCACAACGTAAATATTCAATAAATTTATTGGCTGGTTTACGGAAAGAATTCAGCACAGTGCCTGGTAGAGAGTAGGTACTCTACAAATGGTAGTTTCTGTTACCTTCATTTTGCAAAGGAGGAAATTCTCCTGGGGGTGTCTACCGAGGTGTTCTGATTCAAATTCCATGAATTCCCCGATTTTATCGCTCGGTCTTTAATAAGGTCGGCAGACACGCAGTGGTCATTCTGATTTTTCTCAATGGACATCCTTACATGCAACACTCCCAAGAAAACGCAGCATCGCAAGCATTTAAAGGGAAGTCAGGTTTCCAACAAAACCAGGAAGCACCAAATTCCAAAGCAAACAAACTCGACTCGTTCTCCACCCTGGGGAGGGTGTTCACCCCCGTTCTGCTAAAGATAGAGCGCGGGCCCTCGCAGGGAACTTCCTGGCTTTTATTAGTTTGTAATCCCAAACGTAACTTTTCAAAGGTTTTTCTTTTGGAAGTGTGGGTGTGAAACTGCTTCCCTAATCACATCTTGCGGGAGGATCTCCGAACATCTGTATATTATTTAAAACTGAGCATCCGGTCGGGATGTTGGGTGGGTGGGGGACTCGGGGTGGCGGGCTGAAACAGCAGGGGCATGTTTAGAAATATGTCAAGATGGCTTTTAAACAGAGGCAGAATTAGTCAAAAATTACAAATGGCTAATTACCTTGGCTCAATTACACGTTTAATCAAAAGCCCGCCTCCCCCACTTTTAGTACCCGCGTAAGAGGGAAAAAATCGGGTGTTTTAGAAGCCTAACGGATAAAGATCTTCTCACCCAGAGCCGAGGGACAAAACTCATTACCGATAAGCCCAGTCCTCCCATTTACCCCGGACGCCTTTTCGATTGCTAAAGAGGCTGCCGCTCCCCGGGTAGCTGCCAGGAAACCGGTCCTGCCCCGCGGCGCGGCTTTCACCCCGCCGGGGATAACAGGCACACTTCCTGCGCCCTCCCCATTACTAGGCCGGATTGCGGGAACCTTCCTGTCCGTGGAGTTGCGAGTTGGGAAAACTCTGCCACCAATTCCTCGTGGCACCTACAAAAGGGTGGTGGGGCTCAGAAGGGCTGGATTCTGCAAGCCTGGGATGGCTATTCCTCCCTCTCCCCACCCCCTCTCCGTTGACTTGGCCAATGGAAACCCGAAAAGGCAAAAAAATTAAATCCCAACTCAGCCGAGTGCAAAGGCCGCTCGGCTTTGTTTCCAAGCTGGGGGGCGGGGGGGATGCGCCGGGCTAGGGGCGCCGAGGAGGGAATGCGCGGGGCGCGCCCTGCCGCGGCGCTGACTAGGCAATGGAACTGAACAGTCAATCCCCTGGTCCTAATGAGGCAGCTGGCTGCCCCCTCCTCTCCCCAGACCTGAGCCTCCCTGGCCCCCGCCCCAGTTCCGAATTCGTGAAGTCCGCGGACGAGGGGAGACCCCGCCAAGCCCGCGCAAAGCGCGGTATCTTTAAGAGCTCCAAGAATGGGAATCTGGCAAAGGCTGGTCGGTCCAGAGGCAGCTGGCCGCCTCCCTCTCTCTGAGACTGCGCTGGAGTTGTCCCCAGTCCCCAAACTGCCACAGCAGCTCCCACAGGACCCGGGGGAGCGCGCAAAACCCCCGGGCAGCGGACCCCTCCGAGGCGGGAGCCGAGCGCGGCTGCTTTAAGAGCGCGGAACGCGCGCGCCAGCCTCCGGCTGTCCCGGCGGCGCGCCCCCGCCACTCCCGCGCGCCCCTGCTCGTGCGTCGCCGCCGCGCGCCCCCTGCTCGCTCGCTCGCTCGCTGGCTTTAAAGTCTCTGCCAGGATCCATGCTCACATGTTACTTCCTGTATGGAGGCATGGCCAGTTTCCAGCCCCGCGCTCCGCTTTCCTCCCCAGCCTGCGCCGGAGCCACAACTTTCAGGAGCATGGACTGAAGGCGCCCTCGCCTCTGCGCCCCTCTGAGATCCTTTGTATTTTCCTCCGTTTCCTCTGGCGGTTTCTATTTTGGGGGGCTCGTCGCTCCCCCCGCCTCTCCCCTCCCCTTCTCCGCTCGCAAACATGCCTCCTTCCTTCCCGGGGCCCTGGAAGGAGCTGCCTGCCTGAAGCCCAGAGGCGCCGCGCCGCGCTCAGCCCAGCCGCCGCCCGCCGGCTCTCCGGGGCGCTGCGCTGCCGACTCAAGTTGGGGATCCTCGGCTGGTCGTCGCCGCCACCCGCGGTCCCTGCCCGCCCGGGGCCCCCAGGCATCGCAGCCGTCCGCCGACTCCGCGCCCTGCCCGCTCGACTTGCTGCCTTTTGAACAGAAAGCAGCCTCTCTGCGCCGAGGATCGTCCCCAGCGTGGCTCCGCGTTCCCGGTCACTTTTTGAGATTTTCCGGGGGGCGCTCGGCGTCTTCCCGGATTCCAGGGGGACTCGGGCCGCGCAGCGTGAGGGGGCCCGTGGAGCGGGCGTGCAGGGGGAGAGCCGGGCTTAGCGGAGGCTCGTACGGAGGCAAGAACTTATTCAACAAGTTTACCCCCCCTGCCTTTCTCTTTTCGATGTGCGTTTTCGGACATGCGGAGGTTACTGGAACCGTGTTGGTGGATTTTGTTCCTGAAAATCACCAGTTCTGTGCTCCATTATGTCGTGTGCTTCCCGGGTGAGTGCCGGCTGCCGAGGGGACGCGGCCCTGGCCGGCGCGCGCGGGGCATGCGGAGTTGTCGCCGGGGCGCGGAGACCCGGGAGAGGTTGGAGGGGTCCGGGCGCCCGGGGAGGAGAGTGGGGTCCCGCTCTCGGGCTCTGCTGGCTGGGGCTGGTGGCTGGGGAGGGTGGAAGCCGGAGGGGCCGGCGAGTGAGGCAAACAGGGGCCGCAGAGATCTGCGCTCTCGGGCTTGGGGACCTGGAGGAACCGGAGTCTAGAGAAAAGGGGACTCGCACCGCCTATCTGATGCGGAGAGCCAGAGCTCTGGGGCGGTTGGGGACACGGGCCATTGGGAGGGTGCCTCTGTGGATTGGGGGGCTCAGGGTGTGCCGCTCTCCCAGGTGGGGAGTGAAGTAGGAGAGGCTTGCTGTGCTGCTTCTAGACCTTTTGGAGAGGCTGGTGTGTGTGTGTGGGGGGGAGGGCGGGGGGATGAGATGGGGATGGAAATCGGTGACTGGCCGTGGAGGATGGGGGAGGTTAGGAGCAGTCTGCGTTCTGGTCTCGGGGGCCGGAGCGCCCCCCTCGCGGGGCTGAGGCGCGGGCTGCGCTGCGGTGCCCGCGTGAGGCAGCCTCCCCAGGCGTGGGGGCCGGGACGCGGTGGGAGGGCAGGGGATCAGGCAGTTCAGCGAGATCCATGGTTCTCCGAGCCCCGGCTCGCGACCCCTTTTACCCCACCACTCTGCTCCTCGGAGCCGCTCGGGTAGCAATGCTGGAGCGGGGGGGAGGGGAGGCGGGTCGGCGGCTGGGTGGCTGTTCGCGCCCAGGCTTTTTTCTTCCTGTCTCGCGCGCCCTACCTACCTTCCTATTTGCCCTTTTGCAGGCTGTGCGCTGCTGGCGGACCCAGACCGGCTCCTTTCTGGCTAGGTTAAGCCAGGAACGATACTGGCCATTGCTGACGATAATAAATCGCTGCACGTAGCGGTGTGCGACTCGCCGACCCTCTACTTGAAACCTCCAGTAACTGACCCGCCTTCTCTCCCCTTCTGGAGGGCAGAGGCCAGCAGCCCCTCTATTCCCTCATCTCCTAGCTCCCTCGAAGATGTCTGGCCCTCTCTTTGGGGGCAGAGGCCACCACGTTCTCTCCCCCAGCCCGGGGAAGGGGTGGGAAGAAGGGACGGAGGATTCGCTTTTCAATGCGTCCTCTCCTAAAGACAGAGAACCCCGTTTTTCTGCTCTCTCATCCACCAGCTCCTGCACGCCCGGAGGTGGCTTGGTTAGCTCAACCAAGAGAAGGAACGTGCCCCGAGGTTTCTGCTTCTCTGGTCACAGCCTCATGTCCCTCCGCGGACCGAGTGCGCGGTTTTGGTGCAGCGGGTCCCCCGGCTCCGTCGTGCGCCCTGGGCGCGGGCGCTCTCGCTGCCCTCGGGGACTGGCGGCGAGTGTCTCCTTTGCAGGGACGGGGATGGCCTTGAGGGGCAGAGAGGGAAAGCGCCGGCTTTACGTCGTTATTTCCCCTCTCCCTCTGCGCATCCTCCTGTCTCCGGATCTGCACGGAGCTCTTGCCACAGCCCAGAGAGCCAGCTCAAATGCCGAGGGAAAGGACGTGTGTCCACACTCACCCTGAGGCCTGGGGGGTGCCCACAAGGCTCCTGCTTCCACTGGGGGTAGGGGCGATCCAAACTTTCCCCCTTAAAAATGCCCTCTACTCCTTAAAAGCTCAATATTTGTATTAATCACTTGCCTCTTTTAGACTTTCTTCTTTGCCATGGACTTGCGGGTCTAGTGGGCTCAGGTGTGCACACTGGGTCGAATTTTCTAAGGGCCCGGCTTTAATGGGGGCACAGGGAGGCAGCAAGAGAGCAAACAGCCATGCGAAATAAGTGGAATTTTGGATTCCACCTTGGCCGTCTTTTTTGACCAGGGTATTCAGTAGGTGGAACGGCCGTGATTTTCTTTTTCCTGGTATCAGAGGAAGCGTGAAATCCAAAATAGGACCGCCAGAGAAACTGCTTTCCAGGGGCTTGGACAATTCTCGCCTTCCTCATTTTCTTATAGTGCCCACGCTGCGAGGTAAATAGCTCCCTTGCCGGGGAGCAGACGAGTGTGGGAAAAGGAAAGGAAATGGTGTGGAACTCAGGGCAGAGGGACTCGGGTTGAAAAAGTGGCCGCTGGAGAAGGGTACACACGCTGGAGAAGCATTTGGGATCCAGCGAAGTTGAAATGACACAGTCGTGGAAGACGCAGCCTGTCCCTTTTCCGAAGGTGCCGGGACGCCGCTGGACCTCAGGGGGCGCCCCCGAGCCACTTTCCGGGCTCCTGCCACCTTCACTGGTTTGGGTCTTTGCGATGGGGCAGCAATGGGAGTGCGGTTGGGGGCCAGGAGGTTGGGTTCCCACACTCTTCGACTGTGCATGTCCCTTGGCGCGAAGGCGGCCCGAGTTTCTAGTCGACTGGAAAATGGGAGGAGACCCGAGTTTGCTTTGGGACACCCTTTTCTCCTGACATTACCTTGGAAGCGTTTAGCTGGTTAACCCCAGGAATAGAAATCCTTCTCGTTTTGGATTAAAGTCCTTGGGAGATTTTAATCACAATCCCTTCTTACTTTGTTTCAGAATCACACCAACTTTCCCTTGCATTTGCCTTCTCAGTTCCTGTTTAGAATACATGGTGGCTATAATTTGGGAGGGTTTTGGAAACAGACCCGGCACGAGCCTTTTCCCAGCGGATCGGAAACTGGTTTATAGTTTCTCAACAGCGGAATGGCAGGTGTGGGATTCTCAAGTGATGTTTCCACTTTCCAAACCTGAAATGTTGGCAAACATGATATAGAGCATAGTGTGCGCTTGTCCTACATCTTTTTTTTTTTTAAAAATACTGTTTTATGGAAAAAATTATGAAAATAGAAAAATGCAGCTGGCATCTCCTTAACGACTTTAACATCTTTTATACCTCCCTCTCTTTCCCCCTACACCTCATTGTTTTAAAGCATTCTTACACATACTTCATTTAGGCATTTGGTATGTATTGCTAATCAGTGAGAATTTTATTATTTCCTATGGCGTATAAAATGTTACCAAGGGTTAACATTTTATGTATTTTACATTCGTAAGCTATTCCACAGAAGCTTAAATTTTTTTTTATTGATTTCTTTTTCTTCCCTCAGAGTGAAACCCTTTTCTTTGATTCTGATGTTTTGTACCGTAATCACATTACATCTAGAAGGCTGATGTTGGAAACACTTCAGATGGATAAGCTTTGTTGTATACCTTGGATGTGTCAGAATCCGAGGAGCCATGATTGATATTTGGAGAATTTCCCTTAAGCCATCTTGGTGTATTTGCATGTACATGCTTTAGTACTATTGGGCAGCTAGCATGGCTTTATTAGAAAATGCAAAAGTAGTAGCTGTAAGTCAGCAGTCTTATTCTTAGGAAGGAAAGGTGGAATCATGCTGTCCCCTCCTTCAAATGTCTTGTTTGAAAATGAAGAATCTTTAATCCAGTCCCTCTGACACACTAATGGAATGAAATCTTTGATCTTTCCGACTAACCGGTGTTCATATTACAGAGTGGATGAAGTTAGAACATTAATGTAAATAGGCATAACAGGGCCTTTTGGGAATAGGAGAAGTAGCTATTGCTAGAGGCAGAAAGGTTATAGGAACGGTTAGTAGAAATAAGAAAAAGAACTATCTCCCCTTGATTATGGACCTGCTTTCATGGACGAAAAAGATTATATTGCTGTGATAGGGAATGCTGATGACTTAATTTAGCAAAACAGAAACAAAACCCTTTTAGATTAATTTTTCTATTCTTCTGAAAAACTCCCTAGTTAATGTGTAATCAGTTATGTAGCAGTACATCAATTGGAATGAACTTTCTTGCCATTTATGTAAGATAATTTAAAATGCCCCCGAGCAATAGTTATTAGGGACCAGCTATCTTACTACCTTCTCCATTTTCCTGGAAACTTCTTGACCAAAAGGACAGTCTTAGACTTAGATTAGCCTTATGTAGATGAAGAAAACAAGTTAAATGTTGCTAGTACTTTATTGCTTTCTCTTTCCTATTATAGTGCGATTTTTTTTTAAATCAGAATTTCCATTTAACATTTTACTTACAGCATGCAGGACAACTGTCATTTCTAAGTGGGCAAAACATAACATGAGTGTGCATTCTGAATTACAAGGTTTGAAAAATTATGATGAACACTTTTCATCCTGGGGCACATCTTTCATGTAGTCACAGTTCATAAATCAAAGCTTAGGAGAGAAATTCAGAGCATCTGAAGTTATCTCAGAGTGCTTGATTGATTGACATTCCCCCACTCCCCTAATGCCTTTGGTGCCTTTTGGTTGCAGGCTGAGCACTATGAGATGATGGCTGGTAATTACAAAACTGCATTTTTGGCTGTATCTATACAGAATAAAAGGCCTGTATATTTGATAATATTAAGGAAGGCAAGGCACCGTGCCCTGTCCCTACTTCTAGCTAGTTCAGATGGGCTTGATGTAGGCAAAATTAAGGCTGCTGCTGAGGGGCTTCGGAAAGTGAGAAATATTCTTCTGAGAAGAGCCTGCCCCCAGCAGGCAGTGAGAGCTTGTGGAATTCAGCAGCAGTCACTGAATTTGTCTCAGAATGACACATGCATTAGGCCCCATCAGGAAATATTTGCAAGTGATTTAAGCTGAGATACCTCTGGTTCCCTCTTTGAGACACTGGAGCAAGTATCTTGTTTGCAAAGTACCAAACTCATCATTGTGGCCATGTTTTGTGGACTTAGAAGATCAAATGCACATGTGTGCATAAAAAAAGTTACTCGTTATGGAATATTTTGATGTTTTTTTTTTATTGTGATCACATGGTGTTGTGACCAGAAACATCATTCCAAAAGAAGATGGGTGTTTTAAAAGCCTTTGTAACTATCCTTCACTTTTTCCTACAGGTCCTCAAATTTGATTCAAACTTGTCCCACAGAATTGTTACTGTCTCTTTAGAAAATATATCTGGAAGTATCGT